TCTTATGTGTAAAAATGGGGACATTGACATCTGCTCTTGGGGCTGCCAGAAGGATTAAGTGGAATCATATGAAGCATCGACCCAGCTTCCATCACACAAAAGAAACTCGATAAATGTGAGCAGCCTGTTCCTCCCACCCCCTTTCACGTGGGCTTGGCCACAAGCAGGCCTCCTTCACACTGCAGCCCCCTGCTGTGGGGGGGGGGGGGGGGGGGCGTGTCCTATGGTGTCCATGTGAATAATCATTAAATGGAAGCTCTGAGTTCTAGTAAGTTTCCAGAATCATGGTTAGTGGTGCAATTGGGGCTAGAACCCAGGTCTTCTCACATTCACTGCTTGCAGCCAATATCTAGAATTCTAGAATACATGGAATTTCAAATTTTAAGCAAGATTGGGAGCTAAACTCCAAAGGAAGATAAGTTGACTTAAATATACCTGGGTATAAAAGTCAACCTGCAACTTAAACTTGAGCACATGGCTTTAAATTGCTGACTTTATAAATTCGTGCAAATAACAATTACTTCATTGAATTTCTTTTTACTTATTCAGGCTACGTGCTTGTTGACTGCCCATATAGTAGTTTTAAATTTCTATCTTGGGATAACTTTTACCTTGGATTAATTCCATTTTTTTTTTTAATCAAGGGGAAAAAGGAATTGCTTGAAAGAGTCTATATTGCAAGTTGCATTTTTTTTAACCCATGAAGTCCTTCTTGCCTGGCCTTCTCTAAATTTCCCAAGCATGAACACCATACTCAGGTGGACAAAGCCGCTTGGAGGAGGCTGCCCCTTCTTGCTGGACACAAACCAACCCAGGGCCCTGCCTGTGACTGCAGCCTCCACTCACAGCAGTGACCGCTGAGAGGGAGCACATCCCTGGGCTGCAAGTTGATCCCCAGCCCTGGTGGGGCGTGTGCGGTAGGCAACCAATCGATAAGTCTCTCTTACATCGATGTTTCTCTCTCCCTCTCTCCCCTCCCTTCCATCCTCTCTAAAAATCAATGGAAAAAAATAGCCTCACGTGAGAATTAACAATAATAACAACAAAAAAACAAACTGATGAGAACAGAAAATAGCACTAATCAAACTGATCTTTTCTCACTCATTGGAAGGACAAAATGAGATTCTTTAAGCCCAAGGTAGATAGAAAAAGTATAAGTTTGCTTATTAGAGATAATGACAACAGAAAAGTCCATATGGTTGAGACACAGAGAAAGTAGAAAACAGACGGTGTTATTTTTAGGATCTTCGTTCTAGAAATAGATTGAAATATTAGAAAATTAGAGAAAAATTCAGAAAGTTATAAAAACTGACAGATGAGCTTTAAAGAGCTCAAGTCAAACATGGACACAAATGCCATTCATGGGGGTGGCAGTACTGCTTCAGCCAAAATGTTTCTCCTCAAAA